CAAAAAGATACACTCATTGGGATCTTCAAAATAATGGCCACCCTCCACCAGTATAAGCTTTCTAGACTACCATTTTAAGTGTTGCTGTGCTGGTAGGAAGGGGAGAGAGTTGAGCAAGTCCCACTCTCTCTCTAGGCATTTCTGAAATTGAGAGGTATTTGTCAAATTTGTAAATCTGAGGACTGGGGAGAAATGAATAGTAATCTAGCAACATTTCACATGAGAAATGAACAGTAACTGTGCAATGACTGTATCCCACTGAAAGAATCCACCTCATCTGTGTTGCAGGAGATGGGCTCCTCATGACCACCACAGGTTAGGCACACCACTCTCCTATTGGCTGTAGATTAAGAGGGACTTTTCTATACTGTTTTCCTCCAGTCACACCACCTCTGTTCAAATTACTTCCACATCTAGTATCACTGCATCAGACCACCCTAAACCAGGGCTTTTCATCAGCAAAGCAATAAATCTGTTGCTGCCAGGATGACTCAACTCACCTCAAACCTGTACCATGAAGCAGCTCAGACTCCTGCATCCCTGCAAGTCATTCTAGCTCCCCGTTATTTGTAAGGCAAGACCTTCATTTGGCCATTTCCGTCTCAGGAGCCTTCATTTTGCCACATAAACATAGCAGTGGTAAGCCTAGGGCAAAGGCAAACCCCAGACAGAAGGGAAGATGAAGGTCTTGCTCATATACAGTGCTCTCACATGTAGATCAGAGCATACTGAGGCTACACCTCTTCTTACAACGGAATCCAAAGCTACGATGATACTTGACCTTTTTTCCTCTTTACAAGCTTTGTTTACTGTCACAGCCATAAACAGAAGAGGACTTGAGCCGTTTCCCATCAGTGGAATATCTCAAAGCAGGGAAGAAGAGATGCTGGTATTTGGGTGAGAGGAAGGCGCACAAGATCCTACAGTTACTACATCCACATTCAGCTTGAACAGATGATAAGCCAGTGAAGTGGAAAGCACTTGTATAGCTAGCCATATAGCCACACACTGCTGGAAGATGTAAAGCAACAACTATTCTTAATCCTTGGAATCATGTCAATTGGTACTTCACATTATTTGCTCTATGTGCACTAAAACTTCATGTCACTGGCAGCTGGACTGGAGGACAGCTCATTCCCCTCAAGAAGTTACAAGTACCTACAACCTCTTTAAATAGGGCTGGTGACAACTCCAGGTTCCTAGCCCTTCAAATACTGTGACACCTCTCAGTGGTTCCTGACACACCGTAGTTCCGAGCCCTAAGTTTTTATTCCAGCTTTCCCCAGGAATTCGTCCCAGGCAATATAACACCTGACCTGCAGTGGATTTACATATGCTGGAGACTAACACCAAACCTAAGATCCTTTGCAACTTAAGCCTACTTCCATATACTCACAGAAGAGGGACAAAGAAGCACCCAGGTAACTGTCAGACAGTCTTGTCAAGTGTATTTTCCTAAGCTCCCTTGCAAGGGTGAGGGAGGAAAGTGGTGCGTGACCCCTTCTCCCCCTAGAAGAAAAAAAAAGTGCTCAAGCCAAAAATAAAAAAATCTCTATAGTACAGCCAGCTTTACTGAGCTGTAAAAAACCCAAACCAAAACAGAACAAGCAAAATCACAAAGCCAAAAAACCAAAAACCACCACCAAAAAACCCAAACCAAACCCAAACCACCCCGAACAAGAAAACCCAAACACTACATTTTCCCTAAAATCCAACATCTTTAATACCAATGATTAAACGTGCATCTCAGGGGGAAAAAAACTTTTTGGACAACAGAGTCTATGATGGAAAGGAAGGAAAATAAGAAGTTTGGAGTTCAGAAATTAGAATACAAACCACTTAATGATTAAAAACTGTTATGGAAGTTAGAATTGGTGTTTTAAGTGTGGTTAGAGCAGTCTTGTCAAGACACTGCATTTATAAGGACACATACCTGCTGACACGTGACTTGCAAGTAGGAAATTGAAGTTATACAAGGAAGGAAAAGGAATTTATGCAATGGCTCTTCACCTTACCTAGAAGGTGACATTATACTCCTTGCTATAACCCAAAGAAACATCATTCTTTTGTTAGATATAAAAAAAAAAAAAAAAAAAAAGCATCCAGGAACCCTTAGTATCAGTCCAGCACCGCTGACCCCCAAATTACTACACCTGAACGGAGAATTCTTTGAAAATGCAACACAAGTTCTTGTACTATCACATTCATGAGTAACAACTCCCTCCCTTCCCTCACATACATTCAAGTCCATTTTGGAGGAGGAGTGCAGACACATGGATGCTTTCCTTTCAATAAAGGGTCCTGTACAGAATTTGCTGTTGCAGGAAGAGTCCGTCAACAACAAAAACCTCAAGAAAAACAAATTGAGCTCCACATAATTGAACAGAGTTAAATGCCAGGCTGCTTCCCAGCTTGGGGGATGCAGGAATCTGCATCAGACAGTAGATAAAACTAGGCTAAAGGAGGCAGAAGTTGCACCCCAAGACATTAACCTGAACACAGACATATTTTAATGTTATAACACCAATGTTATCACCAAGAAGTCTTTCTTGGGTGGGCAGCGCCATAAAGAGGAAAATATTTTAGTTGCAAACCTTTTTTTGAAGGCTAAGCATTTGTCAGTAGCTTGACCACACAAGCTGTTGTATGGCAGTGGGGAATAAGCACTCTCCTGAGCAGCCAAAGCCTGTTTTCTAGTGGTAGCAAGCCACAGGCACAGGTTTCCCTCAGCACATCCTAAACTGTGACAGAGAGATGAATCAAGAATCAAAGAAGGTAGCAGCTTCAGGAATTACTGTGGTACACAGGAAGCAGTTACAGCTGCTTTAGGAGGCTTGCTTATTTTCAGGGTCAGAAAGGGCACTCTTCTAAAAGAGAAACCTTAAAGGTTGAAAAAAGTTTATGTCTATCAACTGGGGAAGGAGGGGAGAGAAGCACATTGCATCTTCACCAGCACCTCTAGCAGACTGCTCCTGCTGGGTTGCATCCCCAGTGCTAGGGGCACCAGCAGGCACTGCCACAGGAGAACAGTCCTAGTGGGCAGCACTTCTCCTTTCACCACCAGCACTTACAGTGGGGGATTGTGCAGGGTTGACTGGGTGACAACAGCATTGTTCGCTTTGTAGGGGAGCGCTGGCATCAAAGGCTGTGTACACTTGGCCAAGTAACCAGGACACACGACTTATCTGCAGCAATGATGCCTGTCCAGAAACAGGACACGCAGCTCCCTAATGCAGATGGCAAATACAGTGCTAAACAGCAACACCGGTAAGAGATGAGCAAAAGCAGGCAATCATCAAGTGATGTTTTACCAAGCAGGATATTTACAGTCACTTTATGCAGATTCAGTGCCTGTGGTTCCCCTGTCCAGCTCGATTCAGGACTTGCTCCCGCTCCCTGGACCATGAAAGGCCAGTCCCTCCCATCCCTGTTAGGTGCCCACAGTTCAGCAGTGTGAATTCCCTTCCTTGCCTGCCCGCAACAAGCATTTTAGGAGGGCAGCCAGCCTGAACTATACAGCTCATACCAGGTAAGAAATCCTTCTGCACAGGCATCTCTGGGATTTCAGGCGCTCTGACATCCTCATGAGCTACATTAATCCAGCACCCCAACCACAAGGTTGCTGGTTTTAAATATCTCTGGCTGGAAGTGCAAGAGCTTGTTGGAGGCCTTTTGTGTGTTGAGAGCTCTTCATCCCCTGCTGTGCAGGGATGATATTTCACACCTTTAAGCAAGGATGCTGACAGAAACAGGGAGTTGTAATTAGAATTCTCTGCCACACCTTCAGACACCTTATTGCATGCTATCTGTCCCAAGTGCCATGGCATTTAATTCAAAAGTATCAACAAGTTTTTCATGCTTCAGATTTAAAAGGATACCACCAATAAAGGTGAGAGACAGACAGCCTCTAGCTATTGCCATGAGTAAATACAGCAGAATCCCTTTAAAAAATTAGTGTGTATGCTTTTTCCACCCTTCAACACAGAAGTCAGCATACAAAGCAATATTTCCATGAAAAAGTAGCTCCAGTTTAGATGAACAGGGAAAAAACTATGCAATGACATACAGTTTTACCAGATGCAGTAATTAAAAATCCAAGTTTAAAAAAAACCAAAAAGCAAACATGAAGTCATCATCAAGTTTTCTGTTTTATTTAAGATTTTAGTTTTAATTCTGAAGAAAGAGGTACATTTCCTTTGTTTTAGTTTTAGCGTCAGGTTATAACCATGTTTATTTATCTGTTTCTTTTTTCCTGTCTTTTCAATACTGCACAAATGTCCAGAAACTACAGGGTTAAGTAAAAGCTGCAGGCAGAGGAGGTCAGAGGTTGCTCCTGATGGTGATCATGTGGCCCCAATGCAGTGCTATCCCAGAGTGCCCTAATCAGGTGAATCTGGTTCTTTATTTAAAAAGAAAAAAAAAAAAAAAAAAAAAAAAGAGAGACTGACAGAGGAGACAGAAAGACTGAAGTAAATATCACTCGTGTTTGAACTGCTTATAATTATATTATGCATACGCTAGGTATTAAATCTGTGAATACTTTTAAAACATTAAAGTTTACTTTAAATCTAAAGCCAAAATTAAAGAAAAACCTTATTCGCCCTGTTTAAACCACTCTTTAGCAACATGCCAGTTACTCATAGCTATAAGTGTTTTGTCCTTCAACACACTTCATGTCGAATTCCGACTGACAATAAAATCCCCTTCTCAATAAAAAAACCCGAAAAACAAAAAACCCAAACATAGCAATTTCCCCATGTAGTGCCACACTGAATGCAAAATAAATGCTAGGCCACTGCTTGCCCCACGCGTTCGGTAACTTCATTTAAATTAAATGCCTTTTTTCTTCTGCATTTGATTCTGCATTGCATTTTTTTTCCCCCTACAGCAGATTGACACTTTTCCACTAGGCAGAAATACTCATGTGCAAGAGACATAAGACAGTAATAGTCTCCTTAAGCATTGAGACTGAATTTTGATTTCTCTCTTTTTTTTTTTTTCTTAGAACAGTTAGAAAATATTTCAAACAGTGTATTTCAAACACTGACTCAACAGAAACTAAACAAAAAGATACAGTCATGACCCTGTGATGGCACTGCATTTGGGGGGGGAGGTTTGATCAGGAACTGGATTCTTCAGAAAGAAAGATATGACAGGGAACAGTAGGTGGGCATGGGGAGGAGTCAGAGTGGGACACTTCCTGCATTTCTAATGTTTCAGGTTTTATTTTTCTTTTTTTCTTTTTCCTCCTTTCCTAATGACGATCCAGTGCTGAGCTCTGTAGTAGATCTGTGGGGGTTTTACTGGGGGGTCTGAAGGCTGTCTGAAAGCCTGGAGGTGGGGAATGGAAGCTGGTGGGGTTTGAAGGAGGAGAGTAGGGATTCCAACTGGCTCTGTGCAGAGGGATCTGTGTGCCAAAGGGGTTACTGTGGTGTGTCTGTGATGGTGCTGCACTGGGGCCGTCCACCTCTGTGAGGGCCTGAAGAGATTTTAGCCAATGTGGAGGATTGTCATCTTGAAGGGCGTCTAAACTGTTTCCTGTGGAGGCTGGGATACCTATGAAGAGAAGAAAAAAAACAGGGATACAGGCAAGTCAGAGCAGAAGCAATAAGCTAAGCATGAAGGAGGTCAATTTAACCTAACAAAAAGCAACAGTGAGAAAACATGATTAGTTTGTACAGAGAATGCATTTTACATTATCATATATAATTACCCTGCCCACAAAACATTTAACATTAAATCCAGAGAGGAGAAAGTTCCCCCTCAGAGGACTTATTCATAAAACACACATTTTTCTATGAAATATCCTGCTTAAGGACTGCATCCCTGTTGACGTGACCTTATCACACCAAACTACCAGTACACTGCATGCTTCACCTCCTACTCTGCCTGCTTGAATCATGCTTCAGCCTCTCTAATAGGGAAACACAACCAGACAGCCTTATAAAAGAGAGCTTTATAAACAAGTGGAGTACGTCCCTTTTTAAATAACAAAGTCCAGTGAATGCCTTCAGTGCCTCAGGACCAACGGCGCACATACCGGCCACGCCATCCAGCAGAAGGGACACCTATGTTGACCCTGTAGATAAGTGCTGATCCGTCTAACTGCCTGCAAAGGTCCCGGGCATGCATTGCAAAGGCCTAAGCGACGCTTTGTTGCACCTAGAGGTTCCACAAAAATTCCTGGACCCTTGAGGTTTTGTGGATGGAAGCTGGAAGAGACCACCGCATACTGACTTTTTCTTTTTTCCAGATGTCAATCAGTTTGTGCCAAATACCCATTTGATGGTTTGCCAGCGGAGCTGAAGGAGTGAGAAACGGTTACCTGTGATGATTGCGGGGTCCATCCAGCTGCCAGGGCTCTCCCAATTCAGGCTGTCGGTGGTGGCAGTGTTGGACGTTGGTACACTGTGGTTGGCGTTGGAGGGGGAAGAAGCATTGGGCAGTCCACCAAAGTTGATGTTAATGTTCGGTAGAAGTGCCCTTAGCCCGTCCTGCCATTCCTTCATATTTAAACTCTCTACAGAACTGCTGTTGTCTGGGAGATTTACCAACAAAAAAAATGAAAGATAAAAAAAATAAAAAGCTGAAGTTAGAAACAGATGTCCTTCTTTGGCAGGGTATGGGCTTTTTTTTTTTTTTTTTTTTACTTTTTAAGCTAAGCATTTAATACTTTCCCTGTCCAAAAACTAGGGTCAATGTTTATATGACTGCTGAATTACTCAGAGGGGCTGGCAGGTTTTAAACCAAGTGTAAGGGAGTGGGAGAAAGATTTACCTCTTCCCCCAGTTCATATTTCTCCATTTTTTTCAGTTCAGAGACTCAAATAATCAGGGGCACAGTGGCTCTTCTATTACTAACAGAGGAAAACCTACCAGATCCTTTATAAGGATATCTCTGTTGCAAGCTAGATAACCCAGTCTGGCTGCTTTATTAATGGGCAGCAGGCTCAAGAGGGTTGTTTTCTTTGAAGTATATTAAAATGAAGAAAGGCTAGGTAGGGCTTTGTAATAGAAACCGAACATGAGGAACCAGGGAGGTGGAGGATTATCACAAAATTTTTTGTGTTGTTATAACTTGCTCATTCACAGCCCTACAGATGTTCTTCGGAAGGAAATGGTAATTAGGTTCTCATGAAGTTGGAGGGAGTGCAATTTCCTCTTGTAGTTGAAGAACAGTAGCGAAAATTCTTTAGAGACCTTTCAGAATAATTCCCGACGCAGCAACATCCTCAAAACTTTGGTTAGAAGCAAACCAGCTGAACACCAAAACAGTCAAGTCAACTACTTGCCTAAATGTTTCAGGGCATGTATTGAAAAAAGACTAGAACTGCTATCTCGAACAGACTCTCAGGTGCTACAATCCATCTTCTGCTTTAGGTATCTCAAAGCAAAACAAAGTGGACATGAGCATTCTAGTATTTATCAGTCAATACGGAAAGTCATACTTAATTAACTTGAAGTCAAATATATTTGAAAAGAATGTGCTGGGTAGTACGTTGGCAGTACCCTCTTTCTGACAAAAACTTTTTTTTTTTTTTTTTTTTTTTAAAAACCCCTATCTCTGCCTCTCCTAATTGAAGAGAGGACCTCAATGTCAATCAGAAGTGTTACAGTGAGATACTTGCATAACACTCCTACTTAATCAACAACAGAAGAGATTTAAGTCTTCATGGAAAACTGCAACTCTGTATGTTGGAGAGCAAAGAAAGCTTGTTATCCCACTTGCTATCAAAGCCTGCCTTGCCAATTTTGTAAAGCTGAGTTCTTTATGAGCAGAATGCTCATAAAGAACTGATGTCTCGAGCAATGACCTTTTTGTAACTAGAGAGAAAAAAAAAAAAAAAAAAAAAAGTTCTTGAAATCCTGTGTTTTCATGCAGAACTTTCCTTCTCCAGGCCAGAAGTTGTTTTTTTTGTTTGTTTGTTTTTTTAGAATAGACTTTATATACGATTCTGCTTCTGTACAGAATTACAGGAAGCAATTTCATTCATAAATCACAGCAAGTCATACCTCAGTCCATGTCACCAACTGAACTTCAAAACAAATTACTATGCAAATCTGCTATATCTCCTTGCCTATAACAACTGTTGGAGCAACACATTTATTTCTAACCCTGTGCATGCCTAATGCAGCTGTTCTAACACAAGCATCCCATCTGCATGTATAACTGTGCCCATGTACCAGGATGGCAGCTGACACCTAGAATGTCTGTGGCTAGACAGACTGATGCTGCACATGGAGCCTGGACAGGTATAACAGCACAGATGCAAAGAGTGTACTATGAAAATCACACTCTGTGCCTGGGCAAGTTTGCACAATACATTTGACCACAGACTGTGCAAGTGTACAGTGAACTGCTGTTATCCCCACTCACTGGCTGAGGCTGGGTAATCACTTCCTCAGAGGTTACAGTGTGAGGTACCTCCATGGAGAAGATAGATAACTCTTAAGCATTCCCATAAACAAAGAAAAGACAGGTCAAAAATCAGGTAGTAGAATTAAACCCAAAAGCTTGTCCATTTCTACATGCATCATGTTGCATTTGATTAAAATTTTAAGTGCTACAGGGAAAAAAAATAGCAGTAACAGAACTGCAGCTCTGCCTCAAACAAGTAATCTAAGATCAGCTTTTTAGTAACACCTTAGCACACAGACGCAATCAAGCCTCCAGACATAAGCACGACTATCCACACACTGTGCAGCAACGTGCTCTGTGGGGCCTGGTATACAGCTCACTTTGGGTGAAAAAAGCAGGCTTATCAGCTATTTGTTCTATGTTTGTTTAGTGTCTAGCCATAGTACACACAACTGGCTTTCACTTCTACTTTCATTTCTCCTTCTGCAAATCAAACCTAAGTCCTGTTCCCTCCAGAGCTCCCACTTTTTCTTTGCAATACTAATGCACACAATAAACAGTTCTGAAGAGCTTGGTGCAATACATTTTTAATTCAAACCTATGATCCTGGGGTTAAAAAAAAATTTTTTTAAAAATCAAAATTTTAACAAGTATTAGTCAGAAATATCCTCAATAGGTATTTGCTCACAATCCTCTTGAACACATAAGCCTATTTCAGACAAGTTCTAAATTCATTTTTCAGAACAAAAGTAGCCAGCTCACAATCACAGAAATAACTGTGCAACAAATTCTGCATGGTACACCATTAGTTTCCATTCTATTTTCTCACTGCTGCTTCCAACACCTTGTGCACAGAAATGCAGCTCAGTTTAAATAATCGCTTCTACTACAAGGCAAAAAGCACACACAAAATGCTTACTAGGACCACGCATGAGTGAACATACTCATCGCGCTATCTGTGAGCTGGAGATCAGCAAACTCACAATGCTCTTAATCATGGACATGACTAACCCCCAACATGCCCTCAAAGTTCATGTGCACGAAGACAAATGTGTAGTAAACTACACACCTGCAACACGTCATTGAGGAACTCTAATGAAGACAAAGCCATCAAGATGTCTTATTTATAAGGAATGGGATAGGAAAATGAATGTAGTAGGGCATTAGGCCACCTTGGGCTAAGAAAATATACATAATTTTGCCATGTTACTCTACATTTAAAAAAAAAAAAAAAAGACATAATACAGCATACATAAGAATCCAGAAAGACAGCAAGCAGTTGAAATAGAAGATTTTCATGGAACAGAAAACGCTGGCACTGTTTGGTGAGGAGATATTAATCTGTGAGGCAGGCATAGTGCACCACTGCTGTGTATCCTAACACAGAACAACACAAGAAGAAACTGAGGAAGACTGTCCTTTATCCCAGCTGTCAGGACAAAATCCATTTGGAATCACAGAAGTCAAAAGATGAAAGGCCTAAAAGGATTCATTATCTATAAAAACTATTATTTGCTGGCAATAAGGAAGTTTATTAAAATCTTGTGCTTCTGGGTATAAAAGTGACAAACCAGATAATTCCAAAAGATTTATTGTCTTTCCCAGACCGCTAGGTTTGTGGGGCAGAAAAGCAAGCTACGACAAAAACATTGCGCTCTGACACTAAACAAAAAGCAAGCAACACACTACTCAGGTGTCTGTAACAGGGTTTTCCAGCTTGGCTAATAAACGCAGAGTTAAAAAACAAACAAAACCAAAACAAATGAATAAACACCACCCTCAAAAAAAAAGGTTCCAACAACACAAAAACAAACAAACAAAACCAGCCCAAAACCCTCAAAAAAACCTCCACCCAGGACCAAAGTTTCACAGCTTCGTCAGACTCCCAGCTTCTAAGGAGAAATGCTGCAATTAAATTATTCTTTATGTGATCTGGTAAGGGATTAAAATGTATTAAGGTGTTAAAGTAGATGGAATCAACAGAGAATGCAATGCTCTACAAGTCTCCCTGCACTGCCCTCCGAGGCCTCAGTTACTGGCTATGATAGGTAAAACACTCCATTAGGAGAATTCCTGATGTAACCCAAGTACGTCAGCAATCTCCAGGCACCATGCAGCAATACCCAAACTAAACAATTAAATCAGTATGTCTTCGCTGGAGTCTGACAAGTTTTAAACAAGAGACTAAAAGTGAAAACACAAATCCACCCCAGAAGCAGGAGTCATTTCTACCACCTAAAGAAAATAAGTATTTTCAGAAGAAATTACTACTCACCCCTCAGCTAGTTTGTTCTTATTACTAATTAAATTTGTGCTTCACCATTAAGCTAGTACTGTAGTTAAAAATGAGAAGAGGTTAGCTCTCTGTTAACACAG